CCAAAGTTTATTTTTTAAGTATTTTGAAATTATTTGACTCTGACATGCCATAGAGTAATAATTTCAAATAATTGAACAAAAGTATACTAATTTAGAAAGTATTTTTCCTATATTTTAAGTATTTTCAGGAGATGAAAAAAAAATGGACACAACAAAGCCAGTATTACTGGGGCGCCTGGGTGGCTCAGTCAGTTAAGTGTCTAACTCTTTTTTTTTTTTTTTAAGATTTTATTTATTCATTTGACAGACAGAGATCACAAGTAGGCAGAGAGGCAGGCAGAGAGAGAGGGAGAAGCAGGCTCCCCGCTGAGCAGAGAGCCCGATGCGGGGCTTGATCCCAGGACTGTGGGATCATGACCTGAGCCGAAGGCAGTGGCTTAACCCACTGAGCCACCCAGGTGCCCCAAGTGTCTAACTCTTGATGTCAGCTCAGATCATGACCTCAGGGTCGTGAGATGAGCCCCTACATCAGGCTCTATGCTGGGGGTGGAGCCTGCTTAAGATTTTCTGTCTCCCTCTCTCTCTCTATCTCTTTCCCCTCCTTCTCTGGAGAAAAAAAAAGTAATTATTATTTTCCTAGTTCACAGGCTTTCCAAACATGTGGTGTATGTAGAGTTGCCTATACTTTTAATTCAATCAACTAATAATACATATGATTGTATATGTAATAAAAATTTATCATTTCTATTTTCATAAAATTTTAAATACTTTTTCTGTTTATAAATTCTTATAACTTAAATGTGTTACGTATTTAGTTTTACTGATCTGTAATAAGTAATTTGGAAACTGGCCAGGTGAGGAGGCTGCTAATAAGAATAAAGCTAATGATATGGGGCACCTAAGTGGCTCAGTTGGTTAAGCATCTGTCTTTGGCTTAGGTCATGATCTTGGAGTTCTGGGTTGAGCCTGCCCTACTTTGGGCTCTCTGCTCAGTGGGGAGTCTGCTTCTCTCCCCACCCCCCCAGCTCATGTTCTCTCGCTCTCTCACTTTCTTTTGCTCTCAAAGAAATCTAAAAAATAAAAAAATAAAGCTAATCATAATTCTGTGATGTAATTATTGAAGCATTACTGAAGAAACATCTGGAAAAATGCTGGTCTGTTAATAAGTGATCTGTATTATACAGAAAATAATGAGTAATATAAGGACACTCCTATTTTTATACTTTTCATACTATTTCAAGAGTTAGTTGTACTTACTTTATTTCCCATGTATTTCTTAGCCTTTTATAATTTAATTTTTACTAAAACTTTAAAAATATGTCTAATAATCTCTTCTCAGACCTCATACTATTAGACCATTTTCACATTTTTCAGTTTTGTCTAATCCTTCCTTATAATACCTTCTTTGCCCCTTCAATGACATATTCCTGGTCTTTTGCCTCATATCTAATCCTTCTATTTGTATTGTTTTGTTTTTGTCTTTAGCTTTCTCTCCTGTATTTCTTATATGTATGAATTTCACAAGACTCTTTGTCTCAACTACTCTTCACCAAAGAAGAAAGCTTACAGGGGGAGGGAATTAAAATATTTTTAGGGCTGCTTTTATTTGCCTTTAACATATATTGCTTTACTGGCTTTGAATTTTTAAATTACTTTGGCTCCATTTGGATATTACCTGAACTGCTTATAGTAAAATTAATTGTTGAATATATTTTTGTCCTTGCTAGAAGGCAAGCTATGTTACGTCCATTAGTATATCTCCATTGCCTAGCCTAAGCTTGGTATGTAGTTGGCAATTAATACATGTTTGTTAAGTAAACAAATGATTCCTACTGTCACTTTGAAGTTAACATTTTCAAAATTGAACTCATACGAAAATTTCCTTTGCTTCTATATCCACTTACTGTTTGATGTCCAGATCAAATGCTATCTCTTTTCTGAGACTTTCCTTAATCCTCCCAAAAATCTCTCTCCCTATTCTAGATTCCTTTTAGCAAATAATACTTTTATTGTACCTTCATTCTGGATTACATTTTACATATTTATGTACAAAATAGGTTGAGGTCAAGGACTAACTTTCTACCCCAAAACAAATACATTATTTAAAATGACCCTAAGGTCTTAGAAAATGAAAGTGGAGGTGTGTCACTGATCCTTCTGCATAGTGTTGCCCTCTACCCCATCTTGCTACTTCTCACTTATCTTTCAGTCTTTTTTTTTTTAAAGGTTTATTTATTTATTTGAGAGAGATAGGGAGAGAGAGAATATGTGTGCATCTGCAGGAGCAGGGAGAGGGGCAGAAGGAGAGAATCTTCAAGCAGACTCCCTGCTGAGCATGGAGTCCTTCATGGAGCTTGACTCCACCACCCTAAGATCATGACCTGAGCCAAAACTGAGAGTCGGTTGCTCAGTTGACTGAGCCACGCAGGCACCCGCACTTATCCTACAGTCTTAATTGAGACATGATTTCATCTAGGAAGCTTTCTGAGCCTTGGTCAGGTGTTGACTATGTGGCTTTTATTTTTTTTTGGTATTTGTTTATTTTTACTTTAGAGAGAGAGTATGTGTGGGAAGGGGCAGAGGGAGATGGGGAAAGAGAATCCTCAAGCAGACTCGCTGCTGAGCACAGAGCCCAACCTGGGGCCTGATTCCAGGACCCTAGATCATGATATGAGCTGAAATCAAGAGTAAGTTGCTCAACCGGCTCAGCCAATCGGGCATCCCTGTTTTTGTTTTTTGGTACTCCTCCAGCTCATTAATTTAACAAATAAGTATCGGGTGTCATTTAATGCCTGTGCTGTGCTAGGCAACTGGGATAAAGTAATGAACAAAATTACTGTTATCTTGTCTGTCACATAGCCTACAGATATAAAACAAGTATTCACCAAATAAGTAATTGTCAGTTACTATGAAGGAAAAGCACAGTGTTCTATGTGAGAGTAAGCCTATATAGATGGGGGGTTGATTAAGAAGAATTTTTTGAAAAAGTGTATCTAACAAACTTCAGTTATGATTAAGATTTAGCCAGACAAGAAATGGGGAAAAGGCATTTCAAACAAACATACTATCTTCAAAAGATCTAAGAAAAATAGAATTTGATGCTTTTGAGGAACACAAAGATAGGCCTATTTTGGCTAAGGAAATAGTATTACCTCATTATACAGATGAGGAAACTGAGGCTCAAAAGAGGTTCGGTGAGTGTAGAACATATTAAGGTCATAAAATTTGTAAGTGGAAAAGTCTAGGTTCAAATTTTGGACTTTGTAAATACTTAGTATTCTTTCCATTATACCTTGAATTCCCGAGTGAAAATTTGAACAAAATCTTTCCAAACTCTGGCATTTTGTTTCTTTTCCAACACCATAGAAAATTCTTTCACTATTTTCTATTTTTTAGCAAAGGGGATATTTCTGTGTGGAGCCATTGCTATCAAAAGAAAAGAGATAATTGACCCGGAAGTAGGCAGAGATGCTTCCATTGAATTTGTGGCTTTGAAAACTCATTTTAGTATTTGTTTGACTCAGGATTTATGAGCCTCCAGGTTGTCAGGGGTCTATGGAATCCACTGTCTGTATTTATCTGTGACTATCTTTGTATTTTGCCAGTGGAGCATTACAGCTCTCAAAATTCATAGCAAACATCTTACATTCTACTTTATTTCCATTCAACAGAATAACATTGTAAACTTGATCCACTTCTGACAAATAATTTAAGTTAATGTTTCACAAAATACACAAACTCCTTTTGGGAATTGATTTCTAGGCAGCTGATAAAACACTGAAGCGTTACCCCCCCCTTTTTTTTACCCTTTTTCATTTTGATGTGGACTTGGATGGGCAAGGGAAGGGAAGTTGTTATGACACAGAGGCAAAGTTGGAAACGCCAAGTTTTTTCCTCCAGGGAATGTTTGTTACCCTGCAGTGAACTGCCTGCAATCCAGGATGTCACAGCGTGCTGGCTCAGTAGCCTGCAAAAATGCCCATATCATGTCAGTACTGTGCTATGTTCCAAGTAACTGGAGACATGTTAGCTTAGAGACCGACTTCAGGAATGTTTTATATAAGGAAACTTATTTTCCTGTGATATTCCTGTTTCCTTTTGTAACCTGGTACAATCATGGTATTTTGTTTATCAGAGAATTTTTGCCTTTGTGTTTTTTCCTTCTAAATGTTCTTTTTACTAAGAATAATTATAACATAAAAGACTGATTTTATTTATTTATTTATTTTTTAAGATTTTATTTATTTATTTGACAGAGAGAGATCACAAGTAGGCAGAGAGGCAGGCAGAGAGAGAGGAAGGGAAGCAGGCTCCCTGCTGAGCAGAGAGCCAGATGCAGGACTCGATCCTAGGACCCTGAGATCATGACCTGAGCTGAAGGCAGCGGCTTAACCCACTGAGCCACCCAGGCGCCCCCTGATTTTATTTCTTGAGTCCATTTTTTCATTTGTGATTTTGTATCTTACTCCTCTCAATCTGAAGAAGAAAATAAGTTAAAAAAACTTCAAGGTACTTATTTTACTTGTTCTGACATTCTTAAACATTGGTTTTTGTGGGTGTTTTGCTTGAATGAAGACTGTGAAAGTAAGCTTTTTATGACTCAAGATTTGGGGATATTATATGCCAAATGCATGTTTTTTGTTTTGTTTTGCTTTTTTTTAGTTTCCCAAAATACAGTGTTATCATAGTAAGTAGAGAAATATTTTAGAGAATATTTTGTATTATTAAGAAAACATTTAGTGTTTTGTTTAAATTTTATTTTATTTTTAAAGATTATATTTATTTGACAGAACAAGAGCGCATGAACAGGGGGAGCAGTAGAAGGAGAGGCAGAAGCAGGCTTCCTGCTGAGCAGGGAGCCAGATGAGGGACTCCTGGGATCATGACCTGAGCTGAAGGCAGACACTTAACCATCTGAGCTACCCTGGTGCTCCTAAATTTTATTTTTCAAAGTATACTTATTTTCCTGTACAGTGTTCTCCACCCCACCTGTCCCTGAGCATTTTTCTGTTGTTGTTGTTGTTGTTTTTTTAATGGCTTTCTTTGTTTTTTGTTTGCAGGCAGCTATCAATGGTGTAATACCCCAGGAAAATGGCATTCTACAAAGGTATGTTATAAGGTGCTTAATAGTAGGATGAGAATTTAACCAAGCAAAAAAGAGACAGTTGTTAATTTTTTTGTTTAACTTTTTGATAGAGCTTTTGATCTTTCATGTAGAAGCGCATTAATATAGTTATTGTTCTTTCAGACCATTTTATTATATCAGTTTCCTAAAGTTTCCAACTTTTAACTATATAATGTTATTTCAGAATGAGTGGTACTATTTTAATGGTGGTTTTATTTTATTTTTAAAAAAACTTTTCAAAGGGATCTTCTAATTCATAAAATGGAAGGAACTGAATCTCAGTACTCTAGAGCATGGTTATTATCTACCTATCCAGGCGTTATCTCCAACCTTGCTACAGTCTTTTTTTTTTTTTTTCACTTTTGGTTTCTAAATTAAGTTCATGTTAATTTGCAACAATTTGAATAAGTCCTTAATTGATGAAACTTCCCAAAGCACTGAACTATTTCATTTGAAGAATGCATTGTTAACATGTGGAATGGTCTTCATGGTTTTGTGTCATTGCCAGAGGGTAAAATTGGAAGATGATGCCAAGAGAACTATAAGATACAAAACCATTCCTTAGATTAGAAATAACTTTTTGTAAGTTTTCTTCCCTTAAAATTAGAGACTGGTTTGGATTAAAAGAGGACGCTATAGAGTCATAGGAGATAAAACCATTCTCCCTTCCAAGTGTAGTTTAATTACTTGAATTCCCCCCCTTCTTGTGTCAATTCAAACTTTGGCTTGAATTTCGGTGGCTAGGATTTCTAAGTCACTGAAACATGATCTGCTAAGTGCAGATGAGGCAAACAGAAACAGCAGACTAGGAATGAGATTGTTTTGGAGAGGAAGAAGAGTGCTGTTGCAAAACCATCAGAAAATTCACCATGAGCTGCAAAATGTGATATACTTTATAGGAAACTGTGTATATTTAGAAAGGAAGCAAATTCTGCTTGGTACTTGTACTACCCTTAGTAATTAATAGACCTGTTCCCCACCTTTTTAAAAAAGTTGTCAGAAAGAATTTCATCCAGAGTAAATGCGGCTGATTTCCAGAGTCTGTACAAATTTTGTTGTTGTTCAAAAGTGTTCAGTTTTATTGAAACCCTTACCTAGAAAGCAAACCAGGTGATTACAGGAACTTCCTTTATGGTCATTTTTTTTTTTTTCTTGGTTTAAAAAGTTTTAGACTTTTAAATATGGTTCCAGTTTTATTCTTTTTTTTTTTTTTAAGATTTTATTCATTTATTTGACAGACAGAGATCACAAGTAGGCAGAAAGGCAGGCAGAGAGAGGAGGAAGCAGGCTCCCTGCTGAGCAGAGAGCCCGATGTGGGGCTCTATCCCAGGACCCTGAGGTCATGACCTGAGCCGAAGGCAGAGGCTTTAACCCACTGAGCCACCCAGGCACCCCACCAGTTTTATTCTTGAGTAAATTTTATTCCACCTTCTGTGCCAAAATTTTTGCTTGTTAAACCTTTGTGGATTCAGCTTCTGGGTTCTGAGTACATATTGGATACATCTTAAAATTAACAATATTTTGGGGGCGCCTGGGTGGCTCAGTGGGTTAAAGCCTCTGCCTTCAGCTCGGGTCATGATCCCGGGGTCCTGGGATCGAGCCCCACATCAGGTTCTCTGCTCTGCAGGGAGCCTGCTTCCCTTCCTCTTTCTCTCTGCCTGCCTCTCTGCCTATTTGTGATCTCTGTCTGTCAAATAAATAAATAAAATCTTTTAAAAAAAATAACAATATTTTGCTCTGGGTGAACTGTAGAAATTTCCTCATCCCATTTCTCCTGTCACTGATGACAGTGATGGGAAACATCCCATCTCTCCTGTCACTGATGATACTTTTTGATTAATATTTAAAAGTAGAGATTCAGCACTAAATTGATTTCTAATACTATAAAATTTGGAGTTTAACATTCATTAGAGAGTGGTTTTGTTTTTTTTTTGTTTGCTTATTTAAAGGAATGAATCATATATGCACAGAAGAAAATCAGTTTTATCTAGCAATAGTCTTTAACTCTCTCCCTTTCTAACTTTGTTCTTTAGCTTTGAAATCACTGTGGAATTGACATAACTAAAAATTCCTCTTGTATATCTCCTAATCAGAGGAAAATGAAAGAGGGTTCTTTGTTGCTTTCTCATTGGCTTACCACTGAAAGTGGAAGATAGGAATGGTATATGTAAGTAGTTAAAAGGGTAAAAGGGTTTTTGTTTTGTATGTTTGACTTTTATTGTGTAGTCTGTGAATACAGCTGACTCTTAATTTGTCAGTTTATACTTCGACAGAGGAAAAAGCTACCAAAAAGATTTTTTTTAATATGAATTATTTTTGGAGGGAGAAGAACCCAGTCCCTGTGCTTTATAGCTGTTCTTGAAATCAAATTTTTTTGTGAATTCAAAAGTGGGAATATGGTTTTTAATGTACCCATAAAGTTCAAAGTAAAGAAACTAACATTTTAAAAAGTGTATAAGGCGCTGTGCTAGGTAATTGATTTATTTTTTATTATTTAATACTTATTATAACTCTTAAGAGATTCATATTTCATAGTGAGGAAACTGAAGGTTAGAGAGTTTACACAGATTTGCCCAAGCTCACAAATGTAGTAGGTGGTGAAGTCTGGTTTGTCTCATTTTAAAAGCTATGCATTTTTTGATACCACTCTGCCCTATTCTAGGTCAGCAAACTAACCATGCCATGTCTTTTTTTTTTTTAGATTTTTTTTCATTTGGGTAAAAAAGTTGGAATTTAATACGTGTATAAGATCTTTCTCCCATAGCTTTGTTTTTACAGTTACTATTTTAGTTGTAAGCAAGTAAAGGCAGATATTATTATCCCTCATTTTACAGGTAGAGAGAATAAGGCATGAAGTGACTTGGCCCAGATAATACAGCATGATGTTGATGGAGTCAGGATATAAGCAAGTCTTCTGCCTCATCCTCCAAGGCTTATTTCACTAGGCAATATACTGCTAATACAACATATTTATAAACTGTGTGACTTATGCTGTCATAAATGTAAGCCATTCAGTCATGAAACATCAAATGTGTGCACGTTTATTTACTACATCTTGGTGTAATATTTTATTTATTAGCATGTTGTCCAGAGCCTTTTTAAACATTATTTTTGGAGACAGTTATTATTAGAAGGAAGTGCTAATGAATTACTTGTGTTAGTAGACAGCATAGGCTATATTTTCTAAAAATGTTATGAATCAGTAGTGTAATTTTCCTCATTGACTAAGTGGGTAGTATTTGTCAACTCACATTTTTTTGACCCAGACAGATATTCTGTATGTTTCTTTTTCTGTTGTTTAATTCATTGAGGAAACCTTGAGAAGACTAGGCATTTTTCTAATTATTCACTGTTAACATTTTCAGAATATATAATGCTGAGGTTTTTGATATAGAAAATATCCATTTTGGCCAGTTAGCTTCTATTTATTGTCTTCTCTGGTGCTCATTTAAGAATCTGATTTTTTTCTAAAGACAAATTTATCTTTAAAACACATGCGTGTTTTTGTTTTGTTGTTTTTGTACCTAGAAATTTTACCTTGGGATGGATTTTTAAAAATTGAAATAAACATGTACAGAGTTCCTGTTTACTTTGCTTTGTTCATTGCCTTCCAAGGATGTGTGTGATTTGTAGAGTGAAGTTGAGTAAGGATAAAAACACTCCTTTAGTTGAGGTTTAGATCTAAAACAGATTTCTCCATAGCATTCCCCTTACCAATCAGTGTCTTTTTTTTTTTTTTAATTATTGATTAACTAGAAGAGTGAGTATATCAGATTATAGAATGGTGTCTTCATAGATGAAAAGTCTTAAAAATACTTTTTTTTGAGTCAGCGATTTTGGATGTCTTTGTATTCTATGGATACCGTTGAACATTAGTCACATTGATAGGATCATTAACTGGTAGTCTCTCTTTCTCCCTCCCTCTCTCTCTCTCTCTCTCTTTTTTTTTTAATATTGCTAGTGAAAAACTCTAATGCAAATTCATCATTTTTAATTATTTTTATTTTTATTTTTAAAGATTTTATTCATTTATTTGACAGAGACACAGTGAGAGAGGGAACACAAACAGGTGGAGTGGGAGAGGGAGAAGCAGGCTTCCCGCTGATCAGGGATCCTGATGCAGGGGCTCAGTCCCAGGACCCTGGGATCATGACCTGAGCCGAAGGCAGACGCTTAATGACTGAGCCACCCAGGCACTCTCATTATTTTTTATTGATCTTGAAATAGAGTAATTAATAGCCAATATGAAAATTCTCAAATGAGAACTTTTAAAAAAATTCTCTTGGGCTGACAACACATCAGATAGCCTGCTGTGATTAGAAATGTACTATCTCCTAGAGTTAGGGTTTGGTAAAGAAAAAAAAGCACACTGGGGTGTTTCAAACACAGGGAATTTCATATACGGAATCAGTTCCAGAAATGTGGAGCAGGTTGAAAGTGCAAAATGCGAATACTGAGATAATTCAGATATAATGACATCAGGAAGCAGCTGGACCAGCAGCCGCAGTTGTGGGTGAGGTGGTCCTGCTAGGCTTGAGGAAAGGAGCGTAGGGCAAGAGCAGATTTAACAACTGCAGCATCCTCTGAGTAGGGTGGGCACAGCCAGAACTGTGTGGACTGGGTCCAGAGTATTCCAGGAAGCCTGCTCTAGGACAGTTCTGTCTGGGAGAGCCCCCTGCTAACCACTAAAGGTCACAGAGTTGGGGTGCCTGGATCGCTCAGTCATTAAGCACCTGCCTTTGGCTCAGGTCATGATCCCAGAGTCCTGGGATCAAGTCCCAAATCTGGCTCCCTGCTCAGCAGAAAGCCTGCTTCTCTCTCTCCTACTCCCCCTGCTGTGTTCCCTCTCTCACTGTGTTCCTCTCTGTCAAATAAATAAATAAATAACATCTTTAAAAAAATAAATAAATAAAGGGCACAAAGTCACTCCTAGTATTAGAGGGAAAAAGGAAAGTGATTGGAGGAAATAGAAGTTAACAGGA